TTTACTAAATCAAAATAATTGTGTTGCTTCATGTTCATTTAATTTAAGTCATACATGGTTACCTATGCTAAAATCTGAAGTAGACCAAAGAAACACTCAAATTAAATTTACACCAAAATTATTAATTAACATTACCTTTATTAATTTAAACAATGAGATTAAGTCAAAGTCACATAACTGACAATTTGCACAGACGAATTATCAGAGCGAATTTTCATATGTTGTATTATCCTACTATTGTTACACAATTTATTAACATACTCTTTTTTAGGTTCATTTAGGTTCTTTTGATAACGATAGCAGAAAATAGCTATCGAAACGTCAAGGTAATTTTTCAAATTAATTTCTCTACTAATTGGAATTTTCCCTGACAGCTTGAGCCTAAGTGTGTCGCAGGATACCCTTTAGGTGATAGTTCTTGATTACTTTTTGATAAATAATTCGTTCTTATTGCGAAATAGGAGCACTATTTATCAATCGCAAATTTTTGAGGCGAAATACCCAAAAAGAAGTTTGTAAAAAATGAATCCGCCTCAACAATATAGAACTTATCTATTTAAGCAACTATTAATACGTTTTTCAAATGAATCGCTAACGGAGTTCAAAACAATATCATTATTGTTTCAAAAACACTTGTTGTCAAAAAAAGTTATGTTAAAAGTTAAAAAGTCCACATTGTTAACACCCTGTACAATATTGAACGTTGTATTGATATTTTGGTTCACTAGAATTCTTAACGTATCTGTGGTGACTTGAAAAACGTTTTTTTTTTGTATCTTTAACTGCTTTTTTTGGCTTCTACAATTAATTTTTAGATACTAAGTTTTTAAGCAGAATTTGACTAAAATGGCGATAATCTGCAAACGTCGCGAGTAAGAAAAAAAAATTAATGTGCATATGCAGCGTGTCAAGCTGCATTCCATGAGCTAATAAAAAATGGGTAGGTCTATTTAAAAAAATACACTTTCATCTTGCCTCGCTTTTCTGAGACAATCAGTATCATATAAAATATTTTTAAAATGTGCGAACTTTGTGCGTCGACAACTTTCATATGAAACTTTTTCTCGAAAGTTCTATTGAGAGACTAAAACGCGCGAAAAGAAAACTTTGCGCTACTGTTGGCCACTCTAGCCCCACCATCGTTCCACACACAAGATAGTACAAATACAGCAGTAGCAGCAGTTAAAGGACCAGAAATCGGAGAAGTGTAGGAAGGTAAACTTCGACCGTTACATTAATTCCAATTTAACATGGAGTTAATGTCTGCAATTCGTCCTTACTCTTCATGCTTTCATTTCTAATTTCCAACATCACACACATAAAAAAAAACAAGTGAACCGCAATCGTTTCCGTTGCAACAAATAACTCTTTTTAGTAAACCAAGGCATATCAAACATCCAAAACCCATGATAAAGTTGGCCTTCTTTGGCTGTTGCGAACATTTTCTTGCCAAGTGTGTTTTCAAAGCTGCCCTGATAACCTTTGACATGTTTGGGACCACTATCCATACCGTAAACAACTTGAAATATTCATATTTACTTCAAGTACGTTGGCATGTGCGAGTCGATTTCTTGAAGAAATGTTGCACATATTCCTGAAGATGGCCGTGGTTGCACTGCTAGCAACGGCAGTGTTTTCACGGACAATTGATGATTTTATTATCAATCCTGAAGAGTTTGAACGTCTTCAAAACACTGGTAAGACCTAAAGATTTTTCCCAAATGCATGGAGAAGTGAGAATTGGTATTTGCGTCTTCATTTCCAGCCACCACCGGAAGTTACATGATTGTAGACCGATTTTTGGCCGATATTAAATGTAAACCGAAACACGTAAAAATCGCAGGCAAATGTTTCCGAATATACTGAAAATCCGTTTAGTTGAAGTTCTACTTTAGCTTTATTTCAAAATGTTTTGATATGAATGTTTGCCAATAAATAGTCCGATGGTTGATTGGAAGTTTTATTTCAGTGTCCAAAGAGGAGAAGACCGATTATCCCATCAAAATCCCGATGAAAATGAGACACATGGTCGACGTACCTTGCATGGATGGGTATGTTAATATAGGAGGAAATTGCTTACGACTCACAAAGATCCGAAGCAAAACCTAAATCGTGTGAAGAACTGTTGCTGTTTTTATTTTTTTAAATACAGTTTCCGCTTGGGATAAGTGGGCGTGTTTTTATCGGCTGCTTCCTACTAAGGCCGGGAGGTTGCTGGGATTTTTTCTTCGGCAACTAAAACTAAAACAAAAATAGAAAATAACACAGAATTAGTACTAATAAAAGTATTTACTTTGTATTGAATATTCTTTAGATGATGATTCTATACACGATTTAAATACTCGCATATTGATGGCAATTTTCGCTTTAAGACTAACATCTTCCTTGTTATTCCACAATTTTTTTAAATTTACTTGGAGTTAAAATTTGATTTATTATCTGAAATTGGACAATCTTTTACTTCCACATTTGTTTTGCGTTGTTTCTTTGCCTTTAAGCGCACCTTATTTTGTGCGTTGGATTTTCCGGCCATTAATAGTTTTACGAAGTAATCAGTTAATTAATGAACTAAAAATAATAACAAATTATAGTAAGAATTAAGAGTAAATTTCAATTATCAAAAGGAAACGAGTTTCTTATTCGACATTTTATAGCAACTGTGGAAATGGGAGTTGATGCTGAAAAAATACTTCTCAAATTAATAAAATTGAAGAACATTTTACTATGCATCGGGTTGGCTTCGCTTTTGTTGCAAGGATTCTGAAAATATTACGAGAAAATTGTTCAGCCATAATTGACCTGAAAATTGAGCCTCCTAAAAGTACGGATTTTACACCTCTTGAGCATACTGTACAAGGAAAATTTAAATCAATTATATTGATAAAATTGGTGGTCGTCGTAAGAGAGTTTAACATTTTTAGAGAAGAACTTTTTTGAAGAAACCAATTTAGCTGAAGAGAGTTCTTAAAAAGTGCGCTATAAAAAGGTCCAGAAGAGCAAATTTCCAGCGGTTTCTGAGATATGCACATTTTTTCTTCTGTCTCTTTAGAAGCTAGAAATTCGTACCGAAAGCCAAACAATAAAAGACCCGAATACTCTTGCCGAACTATCGGAAAAGACGCAACTGATTTTCGATGAAAAATCATCGCATTTATCAGTTGAAATGATTGAAACTTGACGAGTCTCGCCTTAGGGTATAAAAAGCCGAATTTTTGGTTCCAGGTTAGAACTTTTTTGGATTAAAAATACCCAAAAATAATAAATAAAACTTCAACAATGTTCCATTAACGTATTGAAAATTCTTCAACGCACCATCTAAACAAAAATTTGGTGAACCGGTGAAAAAATGTGTAATTTCTTTCTGGGACTTTGGTCAAATTACTCAAATAATTTTCCTCAAAAGTTCCACTCACCAAATGTCTTCTCTGTTGTACTAGTACTCTGCTTGTATGGTTTATTTTCGCAAGGATCTCCACCTTCAGCATGGTCGTGATGATTTACCAGCTCTTTTACCTGGAAAACAGCATTTAAAAATTCCAGAAGCATTTTTTTTATGTACAAACCTTGTGCGCTACACAATGACTTTCGTCGTAGACAACCTTCCAGCCGTCTTCGACTCCTTTCTTGATTTTATCCCAAGTGGTGGCTTCTGTAGTGGTGGCTGCGCCTGAAGATAGTTCCTGCTGAGGCCTACCGTGCACACTAACCACTACAACGAAGATTAGTGCAACGAATGGAAGAAATCCTGGACTAAACATGGTTGATTTGAATGTTCCCACTGCGAATATAACTTGATTACTAAGTTGTTGGTTTAAGCAGGTAGTTGCTTAAGTTAATTGGCTTTTATGGGGGGATTTTTTCGCCTAGAGACTAACCGCTTTGTAAATGCTGTTGGAAGATTTTCAGAAAAAACGTCCGATTTTTAATTAGATTCCTCACTGTTTCATCGACTACAGCAACTGAGCTTGTGGACTAATTGCCAGGAAATGTCTATGAAGAAAATAGCTCTGATGGCAATCAAATTTCCATTTTTATTGACTTTGACCTCTACAATGGTAAAACCGTAAGAGGTTTCCAAGAACCCGATTTGCTGATTCAAGCAATTACCAATTTTCTTCAATGACAAGGTTTATTAAATACGTGTGGCACCTTGAAGAATGTAGAGCGTTCTTTATTTGATCTCGGTAGTCATTTGTTGTTGTAAATAACGCAATTTGCAGGAATAATGTATGCGAAACAATGAGCAAGAAGGAAATTTGCGACTGATTTGCTACTTTGCATAATTGCACGATTTGTGGTTGAATACATAGAATGGAAATTGTTTATATTAAGTGGTTGCCTGCAGGCTGATTCATCAACCATGTATTAGCACTTGGTATTTAAACAATAATAAAACACTTTTATTATTGTATTATTTACTGCCTTCTTTAGCAATTGTTTTGCACTGATGTGTTCGTGATTATTTTCAAAATTTAATGCTGATTATGTTGAAATGTCGACAACCCTCTGCTGAGTCTCGGGTCTTTTTGCATAATTAAAATCAAGCGCGCTTTTCTTCATTTCAAGCTTCTGAGAGAGGATAAAATTTATTATTTAATCAATTTTATTACCAACTTTCGATTCGAGCTTATTATAACAACATACGGATTGTGTCAGTGACTTAATTTCGAATGAGTAGATATTCAAAATTAATCGAGTTTCTACAGCAAATTAAACAGGAAACGGCGTCCTTAGCATAGGAGTAAATTACTACTCTGTTATACGCATTAAGTGTTGAAATTTCACAGAAAATTCAATTAAAAATTGAATCAGAAATGTTTCAGAAATTTTAAATTTCACCCATGACAGTGCTAAAATTCGGAACCCGGCATAGCATTGGGACAATCAAGAGATAATATGCTTGGCCAGTTAAAAGCAACACTTTATAAACAGCTATAACAGCCAATAATAAAAAAACCCTGAAAGTACATGAAACAACTTACCTAAAACAACTTTAAACAAACGCGTAAAATTCTATTGTAGGTTCTGTCTGAAGGGCAATTATTTTTCACAGTCACGATTGCTCTGTGAGACTGGTTGAATGCTGCATTTGCTTCGGTTGTTGTTGTTGGGTGGACTTGATATTGAGCACCATTAATCACCACATATCCTCCATTAACTTCCAAATTGACCAACAGAATTAATAGAAGCGTGGTTAGAAGCACAAAACTTGGGCGATTCATAGAGACTTTTTGATAGAGAGTGTTTTGCTTGATTATAAAGCTGCTGTTAAACAGCTAAACGAATAGAGCGTCTGAAAATCGGGTATCGCACTCACCATGACCTGGTCATATCGCTTTGAACCTGCCAAGTTGGTCGGTGGACTTGTGATTTGAAAGTTATTCCGATGTTTAAAATTGTTTTTTCTGATCAATTCTATTGTTTCTCCACCTTTACTTCCTGCTGGTGCTTTCTCATTTTTTCTTCTGTGGCCACTTTAATTTCTAGTTCGTTTAAATTTGCTTCTTTTCAGTCTTTCTTCTGTATCTATGTAGAAGATTTGAGGGCAAAACATTTGAAATTAATATGCAAGCTCCTGCTTGCGAAAGGTCTGAAATCAATTATTTTCCACAATGCCTTAAAGGCCGTAAAACTCCCCAGTTTCTGTCTCTCCCCTACTTTAACTTGCATTGTTTCCACAGTACATCGAATAAACTGCCAGTAAATAGTTATCTTTCGCTGAATGTTTCATAAACTGAAATAAATGAAAGCTTTGTCGTAGACCCATGAATGTAACTGCTAAAAATATAATTATCAGAACTCTATTGATGTTTCCAGAAAAATAGCTGCATTCGAAATTCGAATGATCACATAAAGTTCCAAGATAAAAGGCAAACAACTATGATCGCCCTCATATCAAGTACCAGTTTAGTTACATTTGTGCTGATTTCAAGTTAAAAAGTCGTGCCTGGTCGAGAAAAATGGGTGGAAAAATAGTTCTAATCACTTTAGCGGCTGTACTGTTGTTGAACGTGGCCCGAGCTGGGCCAATGAAGGGTCCAATCACATTGAGATCTATGGATTATGAAACTGGCATGCTTAATAAATTAAAAGTAGCTGAGCACATATTTTGGGGGCGATGCAATCAAGGGTTTATCAACCTAGGGGGTAAATGCCTAAAGACGTACTAATCAAGGTGAGTTAGTGTTAAATAAATAAATTCTAGTTCTAGTTTGTGTTTTGGTCCATTCATGTGGAAAAATCACATATTTAAAAAAAATCCTGCATTCTGCATTTATTGCAATATTATAATTGCAGTGAGAAAACAGTCGCAACATTTGCACACCGCGTGTGCATTAAGTGAATATTTATCTAAATAATAACTCAGACAGGCTTCGAAACCATAACACAATGCAAAGTCAGGCCAAACCTGTAAGTTGCTGCTAAATGTTTTAGTCGAAATTTTACTACTTTGCAACCCTAAGTACAGGGGCGTCATTTCAGCATTGAAACTGGGGTGGCAAAACCTACTCAGCTGAAAAGCGGTCCTCTTCATAAAAATGTTTAAACTTGACTTTAAGTTTGTTAGTTTTTTAAGCTTTTCCAGGCTATTTTTGCCGCAATTCAGTTTATAACAATTTTCTCTAAAACAATAATTTTTAATCACTTGAGTGTTTAACTCAAGATATGGAGTTAATAATTATAATTATACATATTAAGTAAACATGTACAGAGTGGTCCAACCAAAAGGTCGCACCCCTATTTATGACTCTCCTGCACTTGACAATATCCATAGTACTCGCCATAGTTTCTCGCACGTCAATACGAATAATATTGAAAAGGCATAAATTTCATGCTTACAAAATAAAACTTGTACGTGAATTCAATGAAGATGATCATGATAGAAGATTGGAGTGCTACATGTCCCAAAACCGCATCAGAATCTTCAAACTTCTTGATTAATCTTCCCACATACTTATCGCTAATAGTTCTGCCTGGATGTAACTGATTAAATAAACGGGCGAAAGCCCTGGCAGAACTTCCATTTCCAAAATATGTTTTTATTATTTCTACTCTTTCTCGAATGGAAAATTTCATTATAATGAAAGATGTGCAAGTTAAGTTAAAAAAAAGTTTAAGCCCACAGTGACACTAGACGACGACTCGTTTTTCCTAATATATACCACTCTGGCCAAAATTTCCTACCATTCGTTTTAGGAAAATTTAATTCCCTTGGTTGAAAGGCGCCTTCCCTAAAACACGCTTTAGCCACAGCATATAGCTGTGTGTGTGCTGTGTAATTTTTATACTGTGCCTTAGCCAAACCTGGACCATGAGCATGATCACGTTTACTAATTAGACCATTTGTCGGTTGCTCAATAGAA